CTCCCTTCAGGCTCCTTCTTCATATGCCCCTGCAAGGGTTCATCTCCATTGAGGGAAGTGCCCCGTTGGGAGACAACCGTTTGAAGATCATGCGACGTGCCAAACCACTATTCTCGGGACTCCAACGCCACGGATCAGCCTGAGTGTTGCGCTTTGACGATCCCGAATCTTGCCAGAACTCCGTTCCTGGGACCCCACTACCGCGAATCAACGTATCTGCTGCGCCCTGGCAATCCTGAATCCTTCAAGCGAATCTTCTCTGGTACGTTAACCATGGGCATCCGTGAACGTCTGGCAACTTTTTGCAACGAATGTGCGCGGTGCTAGGGCGAGGGCCAAATTTTGAAAAGGAGCCGCCCTTACCCAGTGAAGCGCTTGCAACGTTTTTGAACCGGTGTGCGCTGCGCTAAGGCGAGGGCCACATTTTGCAAACGGCCAGCTCTCGATCCGTGAAGATCTTTAAGACGAGTATGCGCGGCGCTCATGCGAGAGCCACGTTTTCAAAACCACCCGCCCTCAATCCGTGAAGCTCTGGCAACAAGTTAAGACGAATGTGCGTGGCGCTAAGCCGAGAACCACATTTTGGAACACCACTCGCCTTCAATCTGGGAGCCTTTTGCGAATTTTTACGGCGTGTGCGTAGCGCTAAGGCGAGAGCCACATGTTGAAAACCACCCGCCTTCAATCCTTGGAAATCAGGCAAATCTTAAGATTCAGGATTACAGATGGGAAGGACGTCTCAGGCGAACCGTCCGAACCGCCCTTCCGACTGGCCTCGCGGCCTCGGAGTGCAACAGGGAGGGGTTATACATAAGAAAAGGGGTTGAGGAATGCGGAGGAGGAGGACGGGGGTGGTGGTGCTGCCGCTGCCGCTTATGAGGGGACGGTGCCGACGATGAAGCTGATGATGCTGATGATGATGACCATGCTCATGGTGGTGATGATGATGCTGATGACGACGACGATGCTGATGATGAAGATGATGACGATGACGATGATGATGCTGATGCTGATGCTGATGCTGATGCTGATGCTGCTGATGATGATGATGATGATGTTGGTGATGATCATGGTGATGGTGATGGGGATTGTGATGACGATGGTGGTGGTAGTGTTAATGGTGATGATGATGGTCATGCTTATGCTGACTATGATGAGGCTGCTGCTGCTGATGATGACGATGAGGCTGGCGATGATGCTGATGCCGAGGACGATGATGATCAGGATGATCAGGATGACCATGATGCTGCTGATGATGCTGATGATGATGGTCATGCTGATGTTGATGCTGATGCTGCTGATTATGCTTATGATGCTGATGGCGACGATGAGGCTGCTGTTGAAGATGATGATGATGAGGATGATGATAATGCTGCTGACGATGACGATGATGAACATGAATCTGCTGCTGATGCTGACGCTGATGCTGATGCGGTTGATGATGCTGATGCTGCTGCTGATGATGCTGATGCTGATGCTGCTGCTGACGATGATGATGACGATTATGATGATGACGATGACGACGATGATGATGCTGATGATGATGATGATGCTGATGACGATAATGCTGATGATGCTGCTCCTGATGCCGATGACGAGGATGATGACAGCGATGACGATGCTGCTGCTGCTGATGATGATGAAGATGATGATAATGATGCCAGGATTTGGTGATGACATTGGATGGTGATGCAGATGCTGATGCTGATGACGGTGATGGCGATGCCGTTCATGATGACGATGCTGCTGTTGGTGACGATGCTCAGATTGGTGATGTTGATGACGATTATGCTGATGCTGATGCAGACGATGTCGATGACGATGATACTGATGATGATGATTATGATGCTGATGCTGATCATGGTGAATATACAGACAACGGCTACGCCGTTGACGACGGCGCCGACGACGGTGACAATGAGGAGGATGAGGAGGAGGAGGAGGAGGAGCACTAGGAGCAGGAGGAGGATGATTACGATTCTGATGTAGATATCAATGCTGTTGCTACAGTAGCTGCTGCTGATGATGCTGCTGCTGATGCTGATGCTGATGCGGGTGCGGGTAGGGACGAGGAGTGTGATGATGCGGATTCTGATGATGATGATGATGATGATGATGATGATGATGATGATGATGATGCTGGTGCTGACGACGATGACGTCGATGTTGGTGATGATGACGATGCTGCTGCTGATGATGACGAGGCTGATGCTGATGCTGATGATGCTGCTGCTGCGGAGGACCCTGATTCTGCTGATGACGATGCTGATGCTGATGCTGATGCTCATGCTGCTACTCCTGCTGCTGTTGCTACTGGCGGCTGCTGTTGATGACCATGATGGCGGCTGCTGCTGTTGTCGTTGCGGCTGCTGCTGCTGCTGGTGATAATGCTGCTGCTGACGATGATGATGCTGATGTTGATGATGCTGATGATGCTGCTGATGATGATGCTGATGCTGATGATGATGGTAGATTGCTGCTAGTGATGCTGACGATGCTGATGATGCTGCTGATAATGATGATGCTGATGATGATGCTGATGACGATGCTGATGGTGTGGATGATGACGACGATGCTGATCATGCTGATGATGATGATGATGATGATGCTGACGATGCTGGTATTGCTGACGATAGCGATCATGAAGATGCTGCTGTTGCTGATGCTACTGCTGATGATGATCATGACGCGGACGGTGCTGGCGATGATGATAATGATGATGATGATGATGACGATGATGATGGTGTTTTTTATGATAATGGTGATGACCAGGATTGTGATGTTTGCCATTGCTGCTGCTGTTGATGATGATTATTCTGCTGATGCGTATCCTGATGATGGGGGTGCGGACGAGGATAATGATGATCATGCTAATGACGATGAGGAGGATGAGGATACTGATACGGATGATGATTGCGATGATGATGCTTCTGATGCTAATGATGCTGATGATGACGATGATGCTGATGATTAGGATGATGTTTATGACGCTGGCGCTGATGATGATGATGATGATGATGATAATGAGGATGCTGTTGATGATGATGATGGTGCTGACGATACTAATGATGATGTTGACGGTGATGACGGTATGATGATGACGATTGTGATTCCGAGGATGCTGATGATGCTGGTGATGCTTATCATGTTGATGCCGACGATACGGCTCCTGATGAGGATGATGATGACTACGATGCTGATTACGATGATGATGATGATGATGATGATGCTGATGCTGATGATGATGATGATGATGATGATAATGCTGATGATGATGGTGGCGATGATGAGGATGATGATGAGGATGATGCTCATGGTGATGGTGCACTTGATGGGATTGATGATGATCATGACTACGACTTTGCCGATGATGATGATGCTGATGCTGCTGCTGCTGATGATGATGATGATGACGATGCTGCTGCTGATGATGATGATGATGATGATGCTGACGATGATGAGTATGATGATGCTGATGATGATGGCGCTGATGATGATGATGATGATGATGATGATGGTGGCGTCGATGCTGCTGATGATGATGACGATGTTGCTGATGATGATGCTGATGTTTGTTATTTTTTATTTCTTCTATTATTACTGTTATTATTACTATTTCCATTTCCAATTATTATTGTTACTGCCATCAGTATTATTATTCGTATTCTTCTTCTTATCCTTCTTCTTCTTCTTCTTCTTCTTATTTTTATTATTATTATTCTTATTATTATTTATTATTATCATTATTCTTATTATTAGTAGTATTATTATTATGATTGCGAAGGCCTGACGGCTGGTGCGCCGACCCTGAAGAGGACCACGACGTCGGCGACGAAGTTGGCGGAGACGGAGGCCGTGGAAGATGAGGGGGAGGAGGAGGCGAGGAGGAGGGGGAGGAGGAGGAGGAGGAGGAGGAGGAGGAGGAGGAGGAGGAGGAGGAGGAGGAGGAGGAGGAGGAGGAGGAGGGAGGAGGAGGAGGAGAAGGAGGGGGGAGGAGGAGAAGGAGGAGGAGGGATGATGAGAGAGAGAGGAGGTGGAGGTGGAGGTTGGAGCAGGAGGGGGAGGAGGAGGGGGGAGGAGGGGGAGGAGGGGGGGAGGAGGAGGAGGAGGAGGAGGAGGAGGAGGAGGAGGAGCAGGAGGGAGGAGGAGGAGAGGAGCACGAGGTGAAGGAGGAGGAGTAGGAGGAGGGGAGGAGGAGTAGGACAGGGGGGTGGCAGGAGAAGGAGGAGTTGGAGGAGGAGGAGGAAGAGGAGGAGGCGGAAGATGAGGGAGGAGGAGGAGGAGGGAGCAGGAGGGTGGCCGAAGAGGGCTCCAGCGACGCCCGAAGGCCTCGATCCTCGAGCCTGGGGTTCGGAGTCCGCAGAGTGAGCAGGAGGAGGAGGAGGAGGGAGGAGGAGGAGGAGGAGGAGGAGGAGAGGAGGAGGAGGAGGAGGAGGAGGAGGGGGAGGGGGAGTTGTTCTGCATGTTCAGTCTTTTGTCATTTTCGGCCTCCAGGGGCCATTTTGAAAACCAGAAGGCCGCGCTGGATTTTGGAACCGCGCGGGGACCGCTCCGGACGCGCGGGGAGTGGAGGCGGACGAAGGCAAAGCCGAGGAGGAGGAGGAGGAGGAGGAGTAAAAGGAGGAGGATGAGGATCGGGGTGACGATGGGGCAGAGGGGGGGAGGAGGAGGAGGAAGAGGAGGTGGAGGTGGAGGTGGAGTAGGAGGAGGAGGAGGAGGAGGAGGAGGAGGAGGAGGAGGAGGAGGAGGAGGAGAAGGCGGAGGAGGAGGAGGAGGAGAGGTAGGGGGAGGATGATGCGGATGAGGAGGAGGAGAAGGAGAAGGAAGAGGAGGAGGAGGAGGAGGAGGAGGAGGATCAGGAGGAGGAGGAGGCGGAGGGGCATGAGAAGGATTGTGATGATGAGGATGAGGGTGAGGAGGAGGATGAGGAGGAGGGGGAGGGAGACGGAGTAGCACGAGGATGACGAGGCATAGGGGGGGGGATTTGCCTGCCCGGCAAGGCTACTACGTCGGGGTGGAGGGTCCGCCTGGGCCGATGGGCGTTTTCGAGCTGTGCCTCAGCGGCTTTGAAGACGATGGGCCGGAGGCCGGCGCTGGACAGGAGGAAGGACGGAAGAGCAGCATCAGGAACAGGAGCAGGAGGAGGAGGAGGAACAGGAGCAGGAAGAGGCGCAGGAGGAGTAGGCTGAGGAGGAGGATGACCATGCGAGGGACGATGCGGAGAGGGATGGTGCTGTTGTTGAGGATGCTGCTGTGGAGGTGGTGGTGGTGGTGGTGATGGTGATGATACTTATTACGACGATGCCGTTGATGATGGTGACGGAGACGCCGATGACGATGACGAGTTAGACGCCGATACAACATGATGATGTTGTTGATGAAGATGCTGTCGATGATGATGATGATGATGATGATGATGATGGTCATGATGATGTTGATGCTGATTATGATGATGCTGATGATGATGATGATGGTGATGCTGATGACGATGCTGATGATCATGAGGTGCGCATGATGATGCTGACGATGATGATTATGATGATGATGCTGCTGATGATGATGCTGGTGATGATGAGGTTGGTGATGTTGCTGCTGCCAATGATTATGATGATGGTGATTCTGCTTATGATGGTGTTGCTGATGACGGCTGTAATGGCGCTCCTTGTTTTTTTGTGGAGGCCGTTTGAGGACTATATGATGCTGCTGGTGGTGATGATGATGGTGATGCTGCTGATGATGATGTTGATGCTGATGCTGATGCTGCAGCTGATGATGCTGACGCTTTTGCTGCTACTGTTGTTGTTATTGTTGTTATTATTTTTGTTGATGTTTTCATTGTTGTGTCTGTGGTTGTTGTTGATGATATTGTCGTTGTTCTTGTTTTTGTTGTTGTTGCTGTTGTTGCTGTTGTTGCTGTTGTTGTGGTTGTTGTGGTTGTTGTGGTTGTTGTTGTTGTTGTTGTTGTTGTTGTTGGTGTTGTTGCTGCTGCTGAAATCTCACGCCTGAAGCATAATTGTTGTTGATCCCCCCCCTGGGCACATTGTGTTTTTCAATTGAAGTGCCCCTCTCGGGCCTCGCACCGTGTTTTTTCAGGGAAAGTCGTGGTTCTCAGAATTGGGTTGTTGGCCCCCGGTTTACAACAGCAGCGGCTCCCGCCTCATATTTCCTCACAATTCCTTCCAACATCGCGCTCTCGCGTTGGACTACCTCACAATTCATGGAGACATCTCGCTCTCGCGTGGAATTTCCTTGCAATTTATTCAGACGCCGCGCCCTCGACACTCAGGAGTCACGCTCTCGCTATGGATATCCTGATGATTTATTTGGGAATCGCGCTGTCGCTCGAGAATTCCTCGCGATTCATGCAGGACGCACGCTTCAGCAACCCGCCTGCTCGACCTGGCCGCCTGGGCCCGCCTTCCCGACCCGCCCGTTAGGGTCTACTTACCCGATCTGCCCGTCTGGTTTTGCCACGTGATTTCTACTCCTAGCCCCCTCCTCCATCCGCCCTCTCCTCCCCTGCCTTAGGAGCTGCACGAAATACACGTTGCAGGTAAGAAAGATATACCCCCGAGGGGGTACGATCGAAGACGAAGAGGGCGGGTATCGATGGTTTGGGATATACGTGTTGATTGGCACGCGAGCGGATGAGAGGAAACAGCCTGAAAATGATGGTTATTGTTGCTGCTGTTGCTGTTGTTGTTGCTGCTGCGGCTGTTGTCGTCGTCGTCGTTGTTGTTGAATGTTAATTGCTAAACAATTACTATTGTTGGACCCCCCAGGCGCCCTGGCGCTCTCCCCTCGACGCCGGCTACATTTTAATTGAAAGTGAGGTTCACGCTCGAGCGGTTTAGGGGGGGCCCAAATCCGCCCCCCCAACAACAACAACGCTCCCGGTCGAGACTTCCTCCTTTTTCACTCAGGGCAGGTGCTCTTGCTCGCCGCCGAAAGCCGCCGTCCGAACCAAACCAGCGCTACCGCTCGAGATTTGCTCCCGTTTTACCTTGGATTGGCGCGCTACTCTTTCTCTCATCGGCGCCGCCCCCAGCAGCAACAACGTTCCCGCTCGAGACTTCCTCCCTTTTTTACTCAAGGCGGTGCTCCTCCTCGCCGCCGATAGCCGCCGTCCAGACAGAACCAGCGCTCCCGCCCGAGACGTCCTCCCGTTTTACGCTGGACTGGCGCCCTACTCTCTTTTGAATTGGCGCCGCTCCTAGCAAGTACAACGCTCCCTCGCGAGGCTTCCCCCCTTTTTCCTCAGGACGGTGCTGTTCCTCGCCGACAGCCCCCGTCCTGGCAAAACCGCGGCTCCCGCTCGAGACTTCCTCCCTTATCACTCAAGGCGGTGTTCCTCCTTGCCGCCGACAACCGCCGTCCCAACAAAACCAGCGTTCCCGCTCGAGACTTCGTTTTGTTTTACGCTGGATTAGCGCCCTACTTTCTTCAGCATTGGCGCCACTCCCAGCAAAGCAGGGGCCCTGCTCGAGACTTCCCCCCTCTCTATTTAGGGCCAGGACCTTGCCTCGCCGTCGACATCCCCAATCCCCACCAAGGCAATCCTGTCGCTCGATGCTTCCTTGTGCTTTACCTTGTCTGTGGCTCCACTGGCTGTCTCGCATCGGCGCAGCAAGGCGCGGGCATGTTTTTTTCGAGGCGGGATATCTTTAATTTCCTCGGAGGAGGTGTTTGCAAAACCTCATTGGGCGGGAGACCTGGGAATAGGAATAACAGACCCCGCTATAGAACAATAGTCCCCCATGATGGGGATGTTTATCATGATGGTCGCATGCTTCGTGTGGAAACATCGCGCATGAGGGTAACATGATTGTTGTTGTGGTTGCTGTTGAATACTCATTTTTCCATATTCATAGTTGTTGATTTCCGCCTGCGGGGTAACCATTTTTTCAATTGAACTGCTCCTCCCGGGGCTCACCCTGTTTAGTTTACAAGGGGAAGCTGGGTGTCACCAAACTGGGCCCCGGCCCATGGTTTACAGCCGCAGCGGCTCCCGCTTCATACTTCCTCACAATTTAATCCAACATCGCGGCACAGTTTATGCAGGAATCGCGCTCTTGCGTGGGACTTCTTCGTAATTTGTTGTGACGCCGCGCCCTCGACATTCAGGAATCACGCTCTCGCTGTGGCTTCTCTCAGATTCACTTGGGAATCGCGCGGTCGCTCGAGACTTCCTCGAGACTCATGCACGACTCACGCTTCAGCAACCCGCCTGCTCGACCTGGCCGCCTTCCCGACCCGCCCGCTAGGGTCTGCCCGTTCGGTCTGCCCGTCTGGGTCTGCCATGTGTTTTCTGCTCTTAGCCCCCCTCCTGTTTTTTTCTCTCGTGCTCCATCCTTCTCCCCCCCTTCCATCCGCCCTTCCTTCCCCTATTCTAGGGGGTGCTGCACTGGATGCGCGTCGCAGGTAAGGAAAATGTGCCCCCAAGGGGGGCATGATCGAAAACGAAGATGGCGGGTGCTGAGGGTTTGGGGTACACGTGTTAAATGGCACGCCAGCGCAGATGAGAACGATCTGTTTTAAAACGGGGTAATTCCCCTCTGCCGTGCACCTCCTCTTCTCCGCAGCCGTCAGGACTGGAGCCGTTCCGTTTTGCGAAACGGTGGGGGGTGGTTTCCCCATCCCCTCATCCCGCGCGCGCGCCTGCCATGTGGTGGTGGCCCCTCGCGGTGGCGGGGTCCTGTCTCCAGCTCTTGGCTGAGGCGGAAACCAGGCCACGATGGGCCGGAGAGAGAGAGCGCCCCTGGTCGCGGTGGAAGGCGCGGCGGCGGTCGCCGTCGCGGGGCCCTGTGTAGGCCCCGGAAGGGATTCCCCAAGCGAGGACGGGCCTGCCCGGGAGGCAGATTGTCAGGTGAGTGGCCCAATAGGGGAAGCATCGGTGGTCGCCGACGCAGGGGCTTCACTGCGCATCGGAAGGGATGCCCCAGTCGGCGGCGGGTCAAGCCGCGGAACGGGCCGTCTGGGGAAAGGCCCACGGGGGACCTCGGCCCCGAAGGAGGACGCCGGGCGGGGCGACTTTTCCCCCGCCGCTGGCCCATCGGTTCCTCATCCTTCGGGCGAGGAGGGAGCGGCGGGGGAGGAGGAGGAGGTCGGGCCGCAGAGCCCTGACTGGTATGCCCCCGCCACTCCTGTGGGGAGACGGGGGAGGACGAGGGGGGGGGAGAATGGGGGGTCCGGCATCAGGTGGGGCAGATTCTGTCCTGCAGGCCTTCATGGACGCAGTGATCGACTCCGTCCTGGGGACCATCCGGGAGGGGCGGGCCGCGGAAGAGGGCCCCCCGGCGGGGGCAAAGGGTCTGCCGGGGGGGCAAGGGCCCGCTTCGGAGGACCCCACCGAGGGGCAGAGGACCGAGCCTCCACCGGCTCTGGGCCTTGTGCGGTGTGGTCAAGCCAATGGGAGGACCTGTTGCCCCGTCGGGGCCCGATGGATCGATCGGGGCAGGGCTCGTCGACGCCTACAGACGCCAATGCGACCTACCTTGTGAACCAATCATGGTGGGTGGGGGGCGCTGCGTTTCAACGTGCCGGCCTCCTCGGCGCTTCTTTCGGGGGTCGCGAGCGCTGGGGCAGCTTCGCCCCGACCGGGCAGCAGCTTTGGACGTGGGTCTTGGGCGCCCCGGGAATCTTCCTGCTGGGTCGCTCTATCATGAGGGGGGCCAACCTATTCCTTTATCTGGAGGCGGCTTACTGGTGGAAGCGGCTCTGGTTTCCTCCCCGATGGGGCGGCCCAGCTTGGAGAACCTCGACTGGCGTGGGGAGGGGGTTGCCAAGCTCGACCTACCCTTCTTCAAAGGGACGATCAAGGGTCGGGGCGAGGAGGTCCAGAGAACCCGCAGCCGCGTCGTGGTCGCGCTTGAGAGGGGGGGGCGAGCACGCCTGGAGCCGCAGGAGGTGGCCCAACCCCAGGCCAATCGCGTGGGACAGATCTCCCACCAGGCCGTGCACTCCTGCAGCTACCCGCGGCTGCGCCGCCGCCTGGAGAACGCGGGGGAGATCGAGGGTGGTGCTCCTGGCCCGGGGCCCCGGGGGATTAGGCAGGGGCGCACGGGTCTCTCCAAGAGGCGGAACGCC